TGACAGCAGGGCCAACATAATTTCCAGATGAATGGATTTGAGAGAGATGAGTCAAGGGTGAGCTCTTGGGGTGGGGCTCCTTTCCTTCCAGGCCTCTGCATCAGCCGTGCCTGTCCTCCTACCTCCCTTCTCAGGCCAATTCCCATTCATCATCAGGTCTCTGCTAAAATGTCTCTTTCCAAAAGGGGTCACTCTCTCTAGATGGGCAGTCTCACAACTGCCCCTCCTTTTTATTATTATTTCCTTTTTTTGGCTGTACTGAATGGCTTGTGGGATCGTAGTCCTCCAACCAAGGATGGAACTCTCACCCTCCGCAGTGAAAGCGCAGAGTCCTAACCACTGGACAGGGAAGCCCCTGTCCCTCCTTTTTAAAGTGTTCAACTCTGTCCCCTCCATCATTATTTACATTGTGTGGTGTTTGTCTCCCCCATCTGAGAAGGTGACACATCACAGACTCCAGAGCTGGGCTGCCTGCATTTATACTCTGACTCTCACTGCATAGTTGCGTGACTATTGGCAAATTATTTAACGTCTCTGGGCCTTGGTTTCCTCATCTGTAAGTGGGGCTAATAATAGTACCTACCTCAAGTGAGTGTTGAGAAGATTAAGTCAAGTCATGTAAAGTGCTGAGAACAGGGCCTGACAGTCAGTAAACTAAGACTCAATAAACTAAAGACTGTTTATTATTTTTCTTCTTATCCAATTTAAAGACTCTGGGCTGTGTAGAAACAGATGGGTTTCACCTCAGGACATAATTTTGAGTCTGTTTCAGGGTTTTCTCAGTGAATCAAATCTAATGAGTGCATTTTGAAACTGCTGATTGCAATCTACAGGAGGAAATACACTCTGTATGTTGGTCTAATGCAGTCACACACATAGAAAACTAAAACACACATTTTCCTCATACTAATATTCTTAAAACAGAGGTGAAATTCACATAAATTTAGCTATTTTAAAGTGTACAATTCAGTGGCATTTAGTACACTCACGAGGTTATGCAACTATCACCTCTGTCTAGTTTCAAAGCGTTTTCATCATTTTAAAAGGAAACCCCATACCCATTAAACATTCACTCTCTGTTTCCCCTCCAGCTTCTGGCCTACACCCACTTGCTTTCTGTGTCTATGGACCAACATTATTATGTATGAAGCACTCTGGTATTTTTTATTTTATTCTATTTCAGTGAAAAATTGCTCAAGGCCCACCAAACTGATTTTCCTCCCCACTAATGCAGTTGTGCACATTGGGATCACCTGGAGAGCTTTAAAAGCTACTGATGCATGGGCCTTACCCCAGAGATTCTGAAGTGATCTGGGTATTTCTAGAAGCTCACAGGTAATGCTGTCTTCAGATAACCACAAAGCAAGAACCGATTGTCCAATATATCTCTGACTTGGAAAACACTGGAATGAGACCTAGAGTTGAGGTAGTCCAGGAACACAGAGGAACACAGAGATACAAATGTGGGGATACAGAATGTAGACACCAAGACATCCCTCTACAGACTCAAGGAGACAGCTCTCTGAGGCAAATACACAGGGGAATGTGGGTGCCCTCAGAGTGAGAGCTGCACATTACCTGCAGACAAGAAACAGAAAGTCAGAAAATATAGCAAGTTAGGGAGAAAAAGTATAGACAGAAGGGCACAGATAGGAGGGCAGGAAGATACCCAGAAAGGCGACAAAGCTGCGGGACCCCCCCAGTTCACCGCACACTTTTCTTACAGCTCACCTGCTCTCCAGGACCAGCCCTGTCCTTCCGTCTGGGGCCCAGACCCAGGCCCTGGGAGGCTGAGCCCCTCACCTGCCCTGGCCCCAGAGAAGCTGCCCTGCCACCGGCTTCCCTTCCCTGGCCTGGTGGGGCCTGGCTGAGGGGCAAGACTGAGCCATGGGGGAAGGGGGAATCTCTCCGTACCTGCTGCTGCTTCCTCTGTCTTGGCTAACCCCTGTTTCCCCTGAACCCCTCACTCCTCTTTGAACATACTCAGAGAGTTCACAAAGCCTGAGACCAGGGCCATTTGGCCTCAGCATCCCTGGCCCTGCCATTGCGAATATGTGTTATTTATTACCTGGAGGCCTGTCCTGTCCCAACGCCCCTCCCCCCCCCATAAAGCATTGTTTACACCTGTGTCATAGCCTCTGTCATTTTGGGGTGGTGGGGAGGGAAGGGAGGCAGATGAAGTCCCTGATTATGTTTGAGTCCATGTTTTAGGGTTGGACACGGTGTAGGGGTCCACCATGACTCCATGGCTCAGGTGTCTATTGTGGAGGAATTTTGCCCACATATGTAACACGAAGGTCCTTCTGTTTGTGATGGGTGTGATGGGATCTGTAGGAATGGGTGCTACTTGTGTGTGTGTGACACTTTGCTTGTGAGTGCTCTGTGCCTTTGGTGATTGTGTCTACAAGGGTGGTGGTGTCTGGGACACTGAGGCTAGGGAATGAGAATTCAGGCCTGTGGGTGAGCCCTGGGTCAGCCCAGTGGGTGATACTTACGCATTTCTGATGCCTGAAAGTCTGAGGCAGTGTCTAGTTAGTGCTTGACTGTGTATATGTGCCCCTTAGATCTGTGTGTGTTTTGGTGTGTATTTGGCTCTGTTGACACACCTGTATGTGATCATGAACCCTGTGTCTGCCCTTGAGGACTGTTGTGGGCTTTTGTACTACCCTGACCCCCATGCATAGTTAAGATCAGTGTGTTACCTCCAGTGTCCAGGTGGACCGCTGACACCTGCACGTGCTCTGCCAGGGACTGGTGTAGCCCACTGAGGACACTCCCAGTGACTCTGTCTCCCCTAGGCTGGCCTTAAACTGCCCTCAAGGGAGGCCCGAGGCCCTGCTCAGCCTGGGGGCTGGTGGAGGGGGCGGGGCATTTAAATGACCTCATCTGCATTTTATCCCCCCAAGTCAGGTCGTCCAGAATGTTCAAAAGACTCGAGACAATCACGCAAACATCTCTGACTGGCTTTCCTAGCTGGTTTTATTCGGACTGCACACAGTTGTCCCGAAGGGGCAGAGCGGAGCGGGTCAGAATCTGCACATCCCTTCTAGTCCTCTTTCCCTTCTGTCAAGGACGTTCCGCTTTTTTCTTCTCCTTTATAAAATGTCCCTATGTAAATTACTTGCTGTAGTGCAAATTTACATACATTTCCCAACTATTTGCCCAGACACTTCTCCGTAATCCTAATCTTGGGCTGTGAGAAGGGGAGCTGTCCATGTAAATAATATCGATGATCTACATGCCACTCCCCGACCCCGCTACTCATCCTCCCGCAGCGTTCTTCGCTCCAAGGAGACGGGCCTGTCTATGTAAATGAATTAATTTGCATGCCCCTCCCACTCGCTGGACAACGTATACGAGCACCACCCCCACCCCCGACCCGATCCAGCCCTTCATAACTGCGTTCCTCCTCTCGCACAAAAGGGGCGGGGCGGAGGGCGCAGAGAAGCCCGGCGTCAGCGTCGGATCCATTTATTTCCCCTTTCTCCTGGAAGAGGGTGTTCTGAACTCCATCGCCCCGCCCTGCGCGGCTCGCGCCTGCGCCTGTTCGTCTCCTCCGCCCGGACGCGGTCACGTGTTCACCGGGCGAGGCGGGGGCGGGGCGTCGCGGGTGGTGGGGGCGGGGTATGGCGCGCTGTACGGCGCAGGGCGGCTGGCACAAACGGCGGCGCCGGGGCCGAAGGAAAAAGCTCGGTGAGGAGAGCTCGGGAAGGGAAGGGAACGAGGCGGAAAAGGAGTTGGAGGTCGGGCTCCGGCGCGAGCCGGGCGCGGTGGGGGGGGGCGCGCGCCCGGCACTCTGTGGCGGAGCGCCGCGACCCCGGGGAGGGGAGGGGAAGGTGGGGGTGGGGTGTGGGGGAGGGAGCGCGCGCCGGGCACGTCGAGCGCTGGCCGTTGGGGGGGTTGGGGTGGGAGTCGGGAGCGCGCGGCGGGTGCAGGCGGAGGAGGGGAGGGGAGGGGGCACGGGGTCCCAGCGGTCCCTAGGCCTTGCCTTCGTGTCCTGCTGCGCCCCGAGGGCCCTCAGGGCCCGCACCGAAGGGACTTGGGAGGGGGCCTCTTTTTTCCCCCCTCGTCCTGTCCCCGAGTGCGTGAACCCTCCTCCACCCTTCGCTCTGTCTCCGTGGACCCTGTTCCCACGGCTCCCTTCCGTCTGTCCGTCTCAGGACCTCCCTTCCGTCTGGGTGTGTGTCAGCCCCTAACGGGCTTTCCTCCTGTTGGGCTCGGGTCGACCCCTTCACCCGGTTCTGCCGGGCTGTCTCAGGCCCACTCTCTCCTCTTCTCCGCTCTGTTATTTTTTCTGTTTCGGGACCCCATCCCCCATTTTCCACTGACTGTAGATCCCCACCTTCCTTCTGTGTTTTCCAGGCTGATCCGCCCCCCCTTCCCCCAGTCCTCGCCGTTTGTTTCTAACTTCTACTTCCCACTCCGCCATCCTTTTCTACTAAGAGTCCCCTCCTTTACTTTTTTGTTTGTGGGTCTGTGTCTGAGAATGTATTTCACCCATAGCCCCCACTGCAGTTCTTTGGCTTTGGGTCACCTAACCAGCCTCACTTCTCCAGCTGTCCCTTTTATTGCCCCTTGTCTCTTCCTGACTCCCCCCAAGTCCCAGAGTCTCCGTCGCCCCCACCCCCCGCCATGACCTCAGGTTTTGGGGTCTTTGTAGCTAAGTCTGTCTTCCTCTCTACTGCACCTACCACTGCCCCCACCCCCCTCCAGTGCACTTGCCTGTGTAGCTCTTCTCACTTTCCTTTTTTTTTTTCTCTCCAGCCACTGTGACAGGTCCCTTCCCAAGCCCCTAGGGACAGCAGAGGACTTGGGGACCAGCGAGCACCCCCAGGGCAAGAGAAAAGCCTCTGCCACCTGCCCTGCTTCATCCTGCCCCACGCCAGGCCCAGCCACCCCGGCCCCCGGCTGCATCAAGTGGAGGAGGAGGAGGTGGAGGAGGGTGGCACCATGGGCCTGGGCCGTGCCCTCCATGCCCGGGGGATGAAGACACTGCTGCCATGGACAGCCCGTGCCAGCCCCAGCCCTTGAGTCAGGCTCTCCCTCAGTTGCCGGGTTCGGTGTCAGAGCCCTTGGAGCCTAGCCGGGCCAGGATGGGGGTGGAGAGTTACCTACCCTGTCCCCTGCTGTCCTACCACCGTCCAGGAGCGCCCACTGAGGCCTCGGCGGGGAGCGGGACCCCCAGAGCCACAGCTACTTCCACCACAGCCAGCCCCCTGCGGGAGGGCTTCGGTGGGCAGGATGGCGGCGAGCTGCGGCCGCTGCAGAGTGAGGGTGCTGCGGCACTGGTCACCAAGGGGTGCCAGCGGCTGGCAGCCCAGGGCGCCCGGCCCGAGGCCCCCAAGCGGAAGTGGGCAGAGGATGGTGGGGATGCCCCCGCACCCAGCAAGCGGCCCTGGGCCAGGCAGGAGAACCAGGAGGCGGAGGGTGAGGGCTGCAGCAGTGGCAGTGGTGAGGCCAGCGCCGGGCTGAGGGAGGAGGTGCTGCCTGTGGCGCCTGAGCGCCTGGCCCTGGACTACATTGTGCCCTGCATGCGGTACTATGGCATCTGCGTCAAGGACAGCTTTCTGGGGGCAGCCCTGGGTGGTCAAGTGCTGGCGGAGGTAGAGGCCCTGAAGCGGGGCGGGCGCCTGCGAGACGGGCAGCTTGTGAGCCAGCGGGCTATCCCGCCACGCAGCATCCGTGGGGACCAGATTGCTTGGGTGGAAGGCCATGAGCCGGGCTGCCAAAGCATCGGTGCCCTCATGGCCCACGTGGATGCCGTCATCCGCCACTGTGCTGGGAGGCTGGGCAGCTACGTCATCAATGGGCGCACCAAGGTGAGGCTGCAGGAACCTGCTGTGAGGGGTGGGGGGACGGGGACTTGGCACTTGGATGCCTAGTGTTCTGAGCATCAGTGGGTTTGGGGACAGGGTTTTAGGCAGCCCTGGTGCAGGGAGTGTCAGAGCTCACTGTGGACTCTTGTGTCCTGTGGGCCTTAGTTTGTGCACCTGCAGACTGTGGGTTTGGCCCATAGTCACTGGGATTCTTGACTTTGCCGGGGATCCTCTCAAAGAACCTGAAGAGAGGTGCCGCCATTCATAGCCCCACATCTGTGTCTGAGCCCTGGTGGGGTCAACAGCCCCGTGATGTCTGTTCATGGGCCTTAGAGCAAGTAGACGAGGTTTGTGCCTCTGTCTCTGCTCATCTTGTGTTCTTTTTGTCCCCTTATTTTTTCATCCATCCAAGTGTATCTGGTCCATCCTGTCCACTGTGCGTGTCTTGTCTGTCTAGTCTCCCCAAGTAGGAGAACCGGGAGGGGAGGGTGGCAATGGTGAGGCCCATGCCAGGCTAAGGGAAGATGCCCACCACACCTGTGCTGGGCTGCACTGCACCCTGTATGCCATATTGTGACGTCTGCCTCATGGACGGCTTCCCAGGGGTGGCCCTGTGCTTGCTCAGGGTGGGGGTCATGACCCCATCTCTCCCATCCTGCCCCATCCTAGTCCCTGTCCTCCATCTTCTCTGTTCTGTCTGTCCCTCACTTCATCCTGGTCTGGCTCTAGTCTGTTTCCTTGATCTGCTTTTGGGTCTCCTCTTGACCCCCTTTTTTTGTTTTAGACTAGTAGTTATTAATCTTTTTCTTTTCCTTAAATCTGCTTAAAACCAAACCCTGTCTTAAGAAAAACGCTCATTTGATTGGAATTTATGGGCAGTCATCAGGGCCTTCTGGGCCTCCAGCTGCCCATTCAGGAATCTGGGGTCAGGAGCCCTGCACAAGACAATAGTCCATAGGGCCTTTCAGCCTGCCAACACATTAACTGTCTTTCATGGCAGGGTGTGAGGGCCTGGCCTGGAGTTCACGGTTTGGTGGTGGTTGGACAAGGCCCTGTAGGGAGTGCCCGCTGCACTGCACCAGTGATGCCTGGCTGATGGCACAGGCTGTGTTCTGCCCTGCAGGCATGAGGCTGTGCTCCTGGCGTCCCCTCCCTCCTCCCTCAGATCCCATCTTGGGTTCTGCCTCTGTGCAGCTTTCCTCTCAGGCAGGAACTGGCTCAGGGGCCAGGGCTCCCCCCAGGCTGAAGCCATACTGGCCTCCCCACCCCAGCTGGAATTTGCCCCACTTTGCTCTCCCTCCTGTTACCTTGGTTCTGGAGGCAGCCCTTTAGGGGCAGGAGGTCAGTGGGAATCTTCCAGCCACAGGGTGCCCAGCACCTTCTCCCCAGGGTCACCCATCCTCACGGGAGGGAGGTTAGGGGGAGACCACAAAAACTGCATAGCCCAAGGCGGGATACTTCTCTGAACCTCAGTTTGCTTATCACAGGATGGGAAAACCAGGTTAACTGCCTAGCTGGTCTGTGGCCATTTTAGGAGGGAAAGGAGAATGTGTGACTGTCCTCTCCTTCAGTGCCTTGGATGTGGTTGGAAACAGGGCCCTGGAGGGGGTGGGTGGCTGGGGGTTGAGACTTTTTTAGCCCTAGGAGGTAAGAACAAGCCTGGCTGGACTGAGAAGGGAGGGGAGGAGCCAACCCAATCACTGGAGTTCCTCTCTGACCTTCCCCTGCCCCAGTGAGACAGCAGCTTCAGCTTCCTCACCTTCAGAGGGCAACATCTGGGTTCTGCCTCAGGCTCGAGTAAGATGGCGTGGGGTGCTGAGATGCTGGGTGGCCACAGTGGTGGGGGGCTCAGGTCACCAGTGTGGCTGCGGCCAATCACAGCCTGAACTGTGTTCCTCTGCCTGCCTTCTCTTCCTGGTTCCTTTGCTCAGTTGACCGGAAGGTGGGAGGGAATTGATTTGCACTGGCTTCAAGGTCTACCATAGGGGTCCTGGGGAGGCCCTTTTAAGACCAGTTTGGGGTGGGGCCTGCTGCTGTTGGCTCAGTCCTGGGATTCAGACTTGGGATGGGTGGGTACTGTGTGTGTGTGCTTTGCAGGGCTCTTGGCATGTTGATTCTAGCTGCCCCTTAAGCTAGCTGCCCTTTCCCGGAGATGGAAGTGTAAAGAACACGTTTCCATGTTACTCTGCTTGTTGTCCCTTTCCCTTGTGGGCTTGGAAAGTAGATGCTTCTCAGGCCAGAGGATGCTTACCTCACCCCCCACTCCCAGGTGAGTATCTGTGGGGGGAAGGGTGGGGCCTTAAAGGGCCTGCTTCTGTGTCTAGCCTGACACAGGAGTCCTGCTTCATGAAAGACTACAATGTGTGTCCCTGCCTGCACGGTGGGAGGTCCTGTGAGGGTGCATGGGCAGGACACATGGAGACCCCGAGACCCAGAAGAGTACTTTCAGTCAGCAGCGCCCTTCTTGGCCCTAGGGAGCCCGGCCTGGCCTTGGGGGGCAGTGCTGGGTAAACAAGTGCCTGTGCTGATTTCACTTTGAGGGGGACGGCAGGGGAAGTCAGCCCAGGTGCTCCTGGTCCTGAGACTTGACTAACAAGGGGGACCAGTGAAAGAGTGTTCCCGGCAGATGCAGAGGCCTGGGGGGTGAGCTCAGCCTGGTCAGGGAAGAGTCAGGAGGACTGTGAGGCCGGAGGTAGTTTAGGAGGCTGGTGGCCTTGGAGGCTGTGGTCAGGAATTTGTGTTCTCTGGGGATGCACTGAGGAACTTGAAGGGGTTTGAGCTGTGGTGAGGGGGAGTAAAGGGTCTCTGGCAGCTGTGTGGGGATGGTATGTGGGGGAAGAGGTTTCAGCCCTGGACCCCTTTGCCCACCCCATCCTCAAACAAAATGGGCAAACTCTCGGCTCGTATTCTCACTGGGGAGGAGGGCTTGCCTGTCCCTAATCAGTGACTCACTGGTTCCAGGCCACCCCCCAATTCCAGCCACAGCCAGGGATCCTTTGATTGTAGTGAGGTAGTTGCTCAGAGCACTGACCCGTCTGCAGGGAGTGAGCAGTGCAAAGAAAGTTCTTTGGAACCTGGGGCTGTGGGGGCCAGGACCTTGCCCTCATGTTGCCAGAGAGAAAGGTGCCCCACTGGGTGGCCATGGTGGTGGCCGTTGTCCTGGCTTCTTGCCCGGGGCAGGTGCTGTGGTGGGCCAGGTGCACAAGTTTACACAGAGCAGCTTACTCTCTGCTGGGGTGAGCCCCGGGGAATAATAAGCTGGGAGGAGGCCGAGGGCTTGAGTCAGCCTGGCCTGCCATGGAGTGCCTGGTAAGCCGCCTGGTTTTGGCAGCAGATGCCGATCTTTTTGATTGGGAATGTTTACCCCAGGGCTGTGGCAGATGGCCGTGGCCCCCAGGTGTAGCTGAGCATTATAGGGAGCAGGGGCCAGCGGAGTCTGTCCTGGCATCAGTGTGGGTCGAGGGGTCGACATAGAGGGTCCCCAGGTGGGGAGCTTCATGCCAGTGCTCCCTCATTCACCTTGTCCAGCCTTCCCAGTGGCTGTGGGCAGAGGACAGGACAGGGACCTTTAGACTTTCAGCCTGTGCTTTTTAACTCTCATGTGTCAGGCACCATGCTGGGCGCTTCCCCAGACATTTATGTCTCGTTTAGCAAGCTGTGAAGTAGTCGTTAAGCTCCATTTCAGGGATGAGGAACCTGAAACAGAGTTCAGTCCCCTGCCCAGCATCGCAGTTCTTGAGGCCGCAGTGAGACTTGAACCCAGGGGTTAGCTCTGTGGGAAAAGTGAAAGTGAAGTTGCTCAGTTGTGTCCAACTCTTTGCGACCCCATGGACTGTAGCCTACCAGGATCCTCAGTCCATGGGATTTTCCAGGCAAGAATACTGGAGTGAGTTGCCATTTCCTTCTCCAGGGGATCTTCCTGACCCAGGGATCGAACCCAGGTCTCCCACATTGTAGGCAGACGCTTTATCGTCTGCTACCAGGGAAGCCTGCTGGGCCTATCCCCTCACACCAAACCTGTCATTTTGTGGATACCTCATGAGAAACAGGCCCGGAGTGGCCAGGCCCAGAGTTCGGCATGGCTAGGGTTGGCTTGGGCAGTAGCAGCAGTCAAGGAGAGAAGGGGAAAACCCTGTGGCTAGACCTCTACATATAGAAGCCATGGCCCAGAATGAGGCCTAACTCTTAGGTCTGTGGGGATCAGGAGCCTACAGAGTCATATTCTCGGAGGGGTTCATGCTACTGCTGTAAACAGGAGGTGTTTGTTATCCCCGTTTTACAGGTGAGGCGTTTGAGGTCCGTTCAGGTGATGAGACCATCCAAGGCTACTTGACAGGTTATGCTTGGAGTTGTGATTAGATCTCAGGTTCTAGTCATGTTACACGTTTTGGTACTGTTCACATGTGTAGGAGACTATCTAGCAGATAGTCTCTGTCGTTATAATCAGTGCGTCTCAACAATGGTGCAAATTAGAGTTACCTGGGAACCGTTAAAAATTCCAGGCTGCACCTGAGGCCAAGTACCTCAGAACCTCTGAGGTGGGCCTGGGCATCAGTGTCCCAGGTTATTCCAACTCCACAGCTCTGGGAGAGAACTCCTCATGTGGGGCTTTGAGTCCACATCCCTGTACAGAAAACGTTTAAATAACATTTAAATTGGCCTTATTCTACTGAAGTGTTTGAGGTTGGGATTGGGTTGTCTTAGAAAACCAAACCCTCAGTCACTGAGCTGCGTCTTGGTTCCACATTCTGGGCATGTGTGTGTTGTTCAGTTGCCAAGTTGTGTCCGACCCTTTGTGACCCCACGGGCTGCAGCATGCCAGGCTTCTCTGTCCTTCACTATCTCGAGTTTGCTCAAATTCATGTCCATCAAGTCAGTAGTGTTATCTAACCATCTCAAACTCTGTGCCCTCTTCTCCTTTTGCCTTCAGTCTTTGTGTGCCTCATGTGTGTGTGGGAAGTGGGCTCTTGGGGCCAGGAGCAGAGGTTTCTTGTGGATAGAGGCTTGGCTAAAAAGGAGCGTCTGGGAGCTGGAACACTTGGAGCCCCCAGGACCCTTGAGGAGAGGTGAGGGGCTGAAAGGGGTGAGAAAGAGGAGGTAATGGCTGGCTTCCTCAAAAGTCCCTGCCTATCAGTAAACCCTATCCATCATCTCTGCCAGGCCATGGTGGCATGTTACCCAGGAAACGGGCTGGGGTACGTGAGACACGTTGACAATCCCCATGGCGACGGGCGCTGCATCACTTGTATCTATTACCTGAATCAGAACTGGGATGTCAAGGTAGGATGGTGGGGTGGGATGGCATTCATCCACAGCCTTTTCCTCTCCCCCGCTCAGCTGCTTGTATGGTCCAGGTCCTCTTCGCAACCCACTGGGGGGCGGTGTAATCTTTTAGGGGCCTTCCTGGAAATGGCACCTCCTCCTCCTCTCCAGCTGACTCGGTGGTGGTGGCTCCTGGTGTTGGGTAATGGTGCAGTCTGCCCAGCCCCCAGCCTAAGGAGCACTTCCCCCGCCCCATTTCCTGTCGTCTTCAGTAGCTTCCTGCCCATTTCCATGGTGATGCAGACTCCGGGTTGTCATTCATTTTCAGAGTCTTGAGTGGTGGGAGGGAGTGATGTATGCAGTTACTATGCCCCCTGGTGGGCCCTTGTGGGTTGGCTGTGCAAGGTGAGGCGGGGCTCCAGGCAGTGCTGGCCAGCTTCCTGCCTCATCCTCTGGCCCGCCCTTAGGTGCATGGCGGCCTGCTGCAGATATTTCCTGAGGGCCGGCCCGTGGTAGCCAACATTGAGCCCCTCTTCGACCGGCTGCTCATTTTCTGGTCTGATCGGCGGAACCCCCATGAGGTGAAACCAGCCTATGCCACCAGGTACGACCCGTATTTCTGGGGATGTGCCCAGCTACTCTGCCTGCGCCAGCAGTCTTGTCAGACCCCTGGAGTGACTAGGAAGTGACGGGATGCCAAGAGGGGGGTGCCTGGGGGGATGGAGATAGTGGGTGGAATTAAGAGTGATCTCTAATGGCCCTCTGGGGCTGCTCTGGTCCCCAGGTACGCCATCACTGTCTGGTATTTTGATGCCAAGGAGCGAGCAGCAGCCAAAGACAAGTATCAGCTAGGTACCTGCTTCCCAAATGGTGATCCCGCCTCTCAAGTCCTTCCTGTTCCATGTACTTCCTTAGGCCTCAAGCTGTCTCATCAATCTCTGATGAATCTCATCATCTCTTGATGAGTCTCAAGTTACTGAACCTTACAGCTCATTTTCCCCCATCTTTGCCTACCTTCCCTAGACAGTTGACTCACCTGGTGTCCCCAGCATGAGCCCCATCTCTTGTGACGGTCTCCCAAGCTTCCCGGTTTTCCTTGGCCTCTGTTCCTCCCCTGATGACTCAGTCCGCTGTCCCTCTTCCTCCACAGCGTCAGGACAGAAAGGTGTCCAGGTGCCCGTGTCACAGCCGGCTACGCCCACCTAGTGGCCAGTCCCAGAGCCGCATGGACAGACAGCTTGCCCTGGCTTCTGGAGAGCCCTGGGCCCCGGTGCTGCCAGTCTTGGTGCCTGCTCCTTCCCCGCCACCACCACTGCTTCTGACTTTGCCTCCGTCCTGCCTGGTGTGGAGGGCTCCGTCCACTGCTGAGGACCAAGGAGGAGGAGAGGCCTCTATTGCCCTGGGGTGGGGACGGGGGTTGTGACCTGGACAGGAGCCAGTGTTGGGGGCTGCCATTACTGGAGCTGGGGGCCTGTGTCCTGCCCTGCCTGGTCGTGGCCCTCTCAGGTTTGGAGAGCTGGAAGGAGGCATCGCCACCTCCCGTCAGGACGCAGGATCTGGGGTTGGGGTGAGTCATGGCCTCTTGCTGGCAAAGGTTTGTGGGGGACTATCCCCAAGCCCCCCCACTCCTCCAGCCTGGAATGTGAAGTGACTCCCCAACCCCTGTCTCCATGGCACCTTTTGGACTCGGCTGCCACTGCTTGGGCAGGATAAAAGGTGCTGGGAGGAGCATGGGTGTGCAAGTCCTGTCAGCCAAGAAATAAAAGTTTACCTCAGAGCTGCACACATCTGACTCTCTTGTTCCCTCTTTTTGATAAGAAGAGTCCTCCATCTGCAGTTCAGGCCTTCATGGACCGAAAAGGGTAAGGAGGTCTGAGAGCTAGTGAGCTGAGCTGAATCTGACTTCAGCAGGTCACGAGGCGGAGCTGTAAGGCTGGGGGCACTTTGCCCAGGCTAGGGCACTGCGGGGCGAGGTCTGTGTCAGAGTGGCTCCCCACAGGGAGCAGGCAGAACCACAGTAGAATGGAGGTGAGGTTGGGGCCAGGCCTGCACCCAGGCACGTCTGCTTTCCTGGGGAAACGGGTGTGGAGTGAGAAACCAATGCATGCCAGAGCACGTCCTGACTGGTCCCCTCCCTGCCCAGCCCAGACCTAGGGCAAAGGGCATGAAGGCGTTGTTGATCTGGAACTCGCCCTGGTCATTCAGGAAGTTGGTGGGGTTGAAGCATTCTGGGTCCTTGAATTGGGTGGGGTCCCGGTGTGCAGACACAAGCAGAGGAATCACAAAGGTGTCCTGGGGAGATGTGCCAAGGTTACTCAAAAAAAAGACCCCAGTTAGAAGCCAACGCAAGGAATCCTTTGTCCATCAGTGGTGAATGCTCAGACCCGCTGATAGGCCCTCCCCGGCCCTGTGCAGAATCCCCAGACTCGATGGGCACCTCCGGCAGGAAGTAGCCACACAGGTGAGAGCACGCGGGAGCCCAAAGGCCACCATGCTGATGAAGTGCTGGATCTCGTGCAGCACAGCGTTGGTGTAGGGCAGGCGCTCTCAGTCCAGGGTTGAGGCGTGCTTTCGGCCAACGACATTATCCAGCTCAGCCTGCACTTTGGCTGGGGCCACCAGAGGTGTAAGCTATGCATACCGAAGCCTCCAGCTGACCCCAAACCCCAGCCCCCTCATCCCTAGCTCTCCAGCTTGCAGATCTACCATCTCTGGATATTTGAGCAGAATGAGGAGTCCATAGCACAGGGTGGTGCTTGTGGTCTCTGTACCGCCAAAGAAGAGACTGTGTCATCATCACCAACGTCTCTGCCTCGAAATAGCTCTCCAGGTTCTTCTGTTCCTATGGGTACAGAAGATAGGTGCTGCTGTGTGCCAGGTGGCTGCTGGTGGGCAGCAGGGCCCTGTGCCTTATCTATTTGATCTAGGAAGCTATCGATGAAATCACGGGGCTTCCCGGGCTGCCGCGTCTGCTGGTGCAGCTGGATTTGCTGAGGGATGGAAACCCGAAGCTCTGCGAAGTTTTGAAGATTCAGTGGTGTGGGCCTGGGAGTCAGTCCAGGAGGGAGGGGAAAATGTTGTACATCTGGGGGGACAGGAAATCAATAGGACCTTGAACAAGACCATTAATTCCCTGTGGACCAGGACTTCGATGTTGTAAGTTGCGAAACTTCCAACCTTCTAAGACTGCCCCATTCTAATGATCCATGCACTTGGGTTTGGCATAGACTGGGCACATGACCCTCTCACTTCGCCCCACCTAGAGCTCATGATGCGAAAGTTGTCATTGAAAAGGTCCAGGAGCCTCAGGAACTCCATGTCCTCATTGCCATAGCGGTTCCCAAAGATCATGGAGCAGATAACATTAGATACAGCATTATCCAGTAACCGCCGGGGTTCGAACGGGGCTCCTAGAGGTGGGAACATGACGAGGTCATACGCTGGGTGGTTCAGATCCCACCCAGCTCTTGGGTTACTGGCTTCGTTCCACCCAAATGCCTTCGCTCGGCCTTTTCTAGACCAGAGTCCACGCCCACAAATGGTCCCTCTCTTTTTCCAGGCCGTACCTCCAGTGGCTTGAAATTTCACCAAGCTGACAAGCCGCCTCTTCCAGGACACGCTCTTCGATGGTCCGCATACCCAAGCCGAACTCTTTAAGTGCTCCAAGTGCAAAATTGCGCAGCATCGGCCAGCGCGGCCCATTAGAAAACGCTGTGCCTTGGGGGAGGTGTTGGGGGTGGGGGTTGTTGGGAAGAGGTGAGAGGTGGTAAGTTGGCCACGCCCCATCCCAGAAGCCTCCCGCGATGGAGCCGACTTTCTCGGAACTCTTCGCTCAGCTTTTCCAGATCTTTTGGATGCCACCCCAGCCTTCTCGGCCCTATCCACACATTGACCCCGCCTCTGCTCGTTCTGACCCGTGACCAGTGCTTGCTCTGTTTGGCTTTGACTCTTAGGCTCTCCTAGGGGCTGCGCAAGGAACCAGCCCCCCTACTCCCATTCGACCCCTACAGTGTAGCTCCGCCCCAACCTCTCCTCATTACCCTTGACTCTAGGAGGCCCCGCCCCATTTCTCAGATCCGGGTTTTTTTCGCCGACTGGATATTCCGGGTCCGCACTTCTGCCGCCCCCCGGGCCTCACTGTTTCCGCGTGTGAAGCGTTCGAAGACTGCCGTGGCCCCGCGGCCGGAGAAGGCATCCGCTTGCAGAACCAGGGCGTCCCGCAGCGTTGCGTAGACGCACAGCACCACTGCAGGGCGCGGGCCCAGCCACACCGTGAACACCAGATCCCAGCGGCCAGAGAGCTACACGGAGCCGGTGGTCAGCGGGCCCCAGTCTGGGCCCCTGACCCCTCCGCCGCCGAGACCCCAGAGCCCGACCCCCAGCTCCGTTCTTCGGATTCAGGAGTCCAGCCCCTCCGCCTTCCCTCAAAATCTAGAAGTTCAGGTCCCCAACCCCCTGCCCCCTCAGAACTAGGTGTCTGGGCCCTCGGTACCCGCCCCCCTCCCCCCACCGCCTTGAGCCAGAACAGACCTCTCTGCTCCCCTTCCCCTGGGACCAGACAGCGGCCGGCCGTAGGCCCCCCAACTCCCTCAGGAGTGGGGGTTGGCTGTGGCAGCGAGACTCCGCCCTGAACCAGGAGCTCAGGCCCACTTCCCATTTTCCCTCCAGATCTAACTTCCCACCCCGTCTCCTTCCCCAGGAAGCAGGATTCTAGGCCCCTCAACCTCTCTCAGGACTCGCTGGGTCTAAGCCCTCAGCTCTGTCCTCATTCAGGGAGCTAAGAATTCCAGCCCTCAGCCCCACTTCCAGAAATCCAGAATTCTGACCCCCCCCCACCCCGACCCCCGGCGCCACTCGGGGCTACCTCCATGAGTGCACGGTCCAGGCGTCCAGACTTAACTGCAGCAAGTTCTCCAGCAGCGGGGGTGGAGTGGCCCGGGGAGGTAGGGCTCCCTGCCTCTGAGTGCTGCGTGCACCCCAGCCCCGCCTGGCTAGTGCCAGTAGCAGGACCAGCAATGACAGCGCTATAATGCCAGAGATCATGCCCTGATCCTGGATGCCCGCAGCTCCTCATTTCTTCTATTTTATTCCCCTGGGGTCTTGGGTGGAGCAAGGGTGGAGACTGAATGTGGGAGGAGTGGGCACCTGCCAACCTCTCTTTCTGTAATTTGTCAACCCAAAGTCTGAGCTCAGTTCTTTTCCCTGTCATTGGTGTGCTTGGCTTCTCCTGGCCTTTCGTGTGTGTGTGCGCGCGTGCGCGACGCACGTGTGCACCTGCCTCAGGCTGTCTTATTTGGTAGTCTTAACGCACTAGCATTTTCATGTCAGCACACCAAATCAACAGGTACACCCTCCATAGCACCTTTGGGTCCATCTTACTTGTCCTGTAGTTGTGCATTCCTAAATCCCCTGGACACCTCTGGGCCCGTGAATGCTGGACCTTATGCTTTTTAAAAAAATTAATTGGTTGCACTGGGTTTTTGTCGCTACGAGTGGACTTTCTTTAGCTGTGGCAAGCAGAGGCTACTCTCTAATTGCGGTGCGCGGGCTTCTCATTGCAGTGGCTTCTCTTGGTGCAGAGCACAGGCCCTCGGGTGCCCAGGCTCTAGTAGTTGCAGCTCAAAGGCTTAGTTGCCCCGAGGCATGTGGGATCTTCCTGCACTGGGGATCGAACCTGTGTCCTCTGCACTGGTAGTCAGATTCTTAATCACTGGACTACCAGGGAAGCCTGTACCTTCTACTTCTGATTCCTGAATACACCCTGATTCCTAAATGCACTTCATAAAACACTGCTAGTGATGTGTGCATTAGCCTGGCACTCCTGTGCTCCATGCCTGCGTTACCTAGGGACTCACACCCGAGCCCTTGTCGATTCCACACCCATTGCTCTTGGAGCCTTGTATGCTATACCTGTCTCCCAGATGCTCATTAGGAGTCCCCTAGTGCCATTCAGCCTGGCACTTCCGTGCCTATCCTATGACTCCTGGGTACCTTCCCACAGTTGACCCCCCTTAATCTCCATACTTAGGCCCTGTCCTGTACTCCTCCATCTCTGTTCCCAATGTCCTGGCTCCCAGATGCCCCAAATGTCCTACACCCTTGCTGCTACACCCTGGTCTCCAGTTCCCCAGGCCCCTCAGTGGGCATCTCCACCTGAGGCCAGGCCATGATGGCAGATAAACGTGCCCTCCCTCCGGCTGGCCCTGGGAGTGTGGGCTGTGCTGGGGTGGGGTGGGGCCGACCCAGGCCTGGATGGGCCAGGGGTGGGGGAGGTGGCTGAGTCTGTACTTGGAGCAGACTGCTCAAGAATGCGGCCCACCCTCCCGCCCACCCTGCCTTGTTGGACCCAGGCTTCCGCCAGGTGCCTGGCACAGGGCCCAGGCCCAGGGTGATGATGGGGGGTACTGTGCAGAGTCCAGGACTGGGCTTGCCTTTGGAAGTGTCTCTCACTCTCAATCCCTCTGTTTCTCTATTCGTCTCTCTCTCTCTTCCCATTTCTCTCTGTTTTACTTTCAGGTTCTGCCTCTGTTTGTGTCTGAAAACAAATTTTCTCTCTGGCGTGTTCTTTTCAATGTCCGTCTTTTTCTCTCCCTGAGCCTCTTTCAGTTTATCTTTACCTTAATCTCCCTCTGTCTCTGCTTCCCCATCTCCCTGTCTGTGTAGCGTGTCTCCCTACCTGTCAGCCTTTCTCTCTCTGGTGAATGGCAGAGGTTTGGGGCAGGGCTCTGTTTAGAGGCACTGACCCTTCAGATAGCAGGGTTGCAGTAAGTGTGCCCTCCCGGACTTCACCCTCCAACTTCCCTGCCAGATGCTCAGATGGATCCTCTTTCTCAGCTATTTTTAAGAAGTTTTTACTGGATTTGTTACACTATTGCTTCTGGGTGGTTTTTTTTTAACTTAATTTTTTCTTTTTTGGCTGTGTTGGGTCTTCAGGTTTTCTCTCGTTATGGCAGACAGAGGCTACTGTATAGTTGCCGTGGTTTCTCTTGTTGCCGTGTGCGGAATCTAGAGCACAGGCTCAGTAGTTGTGATGCATGGGCTTAGTCACTCTGCAGCATGTGGGATCTTCGCAGACCAGGGATCAAACCCATGTCCCTGGTGCTGGCGGGTGGATTCTTAACTGCTGGTCCACCAGGGAAGTCCGCTTCTGTTTCATGTTTTGGTTTTTTGGCCACAAGATATGTGGGATCTTAGCTCCCTGACCAGTAATCGAACCCACACCCTCTGCCTTGGAAGGTGAAGTCTTAACCACTGGACCTCCAGGAAAGTTCCTTTCAAGCTCTTTTCAAGAGCAAGCGTTGAGTATTGTTCACTTCTGTATCCCCAGCACCTAAAATAGTGCCCAGCACACGGTGGGCACCCAGTAAATGTTCGTTGAATGAAGGCATGGCTTTGTTTCATCCCTATTTCTTGTTTTTTTTTCTCTGTCTCTCTCTAATTCAGACTCTGTTTCTCTCAGTCTGTTTTTGGCTGAATCCTTGTAAATGTCTCTCTTCCTGCCTTGTCTCTATTTCATCTCTTGAGGTTTCTCTCCAGTTCTCTTTTTGTCCTTTCAGATCGCTGTCTTTCATCAGCTCTGTGCCTCTGTTAATTTCCATCTTGGCTTTAGCATCTCCTTGTCTTCCATCTCTTTGGACATCTCTGTCTCTCCCCTTTTCTCAATTCCTCTCTTGCTCCTCCTCTGTCTCTCACTCCCAGTCTTTGATTTTCAAGATCTCACTCTATGTATCTTTCTGTCTCTTCCTGTCTGTCTCTTTCTGTCTCTTTTTCTTCACCATGTGTTTCTCTTTGCTGTCTCTCCATCTTTCTTTCTCAGGATCTGTGAATCTCCTTTTCCCCCTCCACCTCTGCATCCCTGCCTGGGCCTTGGGGCAGACCCAGCTTGGTGTGGGAACAGCACAGGGATTAGGGAGCCGCTGCTCCATGTGGGGACCGCCTATAAGCCTCCCTCTAGCTGGCCCCATACTCAGCAAAGCATGTCCCAACTTCTGAATGACCTTGGGGAAACTCCACTCAGGGAAGGGCCTCCCATGTCACCTCTGCCCCTGGCTGGGGGGCCAGCCTCATTCTTTCTGCCTCCAGCTCAGTGAAGCTTGAGATGCCTGCTCTTTGAGAAAAGCTACTGTCAGCAGGATTGTCAGCTTGTCAAATCCAGTCCCAGGTTGGGAGGCCCCATGCCTGGGACTGCTATCCCCACCCCAAAGGGAGGAACTGCAAGACAAAGAGATAATCCAGTGAGAGGGATGAGAAATGAGGGAGAGTTTCAGTCTTCCAGTGCCTCACTTCCCCATTCATTGCCCTTCCTCTCTGTCTTTCCCTGGTCATTGTTTTGTTTCTTTCTTTGTATCTTCTATTCTCTTTACCTCCCCAGGTCTCAGTTCTTGTATCTCTCTACTTTCCTCTGTGTCTCTGACTCATAAGATTTCGAAGAGCAGGGTGAGAGCCAGAAGATCTGCTTTCTACACCCAGCTCTGCTCTTTCTGACTGTGTGATCTTGGGCAAGTCGCTTCACCTCTCTGAGCAACCTCAGTTTTGCTGTAAAAATATATAATAGCACTTCCCCGGTGGTCCAGTGGTTAAGAATCCGCCTGCCAATGCAGAACATGAGTTTGATCCTTAGTATGAGAAGATCCCACACACCGAGGGGCAACTAAGCCCCCGTGTCGTAACTGCTGAAGTCTGCACACCCCAGAGCCCATGCTCCACAACAAGAAAAGCCACTGCAATGAGGAATCTGTGCACCGCAACTAGACTGGCCCCTCCCCCCGTTCACTGCAACTAGAGAAAGCCTGTGTGCAGCAAGGAAGACCCAGTACGGCCAAAAATAATTAAATAAAAGCCTACCTTATTTAAAACAATGTATAACAAAGTTGCTTTGCGTCATGTGTATGTGTGCTAAATCGCTTCAGTCATGTCCAACTCTTGGCGACCCTATGGACTATAGCCTGCCAGGCTCCTCTGTCCATGGGATTCTCCAGGCAACAGTACTGGAGTGGGTTGCCATGCCTGCCTCCAAAGGATCTTCCCCACTCAGGGATGAAAACCGCCTCTTATGTCTCCTGTATTAGCAGGCAGGTTCTTTACCACTAGCACCACCTGGCTTTGCCCCATAGGAAGATTTAAATGAGGCATTTGGACCAGTGTATGAATAGGAAGCACTACATAAGTAGTAGTACTTGTGATTTCCCAGTCTCTGTGTCTGTTTATTTCTCCGTATCTCTCACTTTCTCTGCTTACATCTCCATCTTTGTACACCACTCTGCATCTCTGGCAGACCTAGTCCATACCTCTCTGGGCTGCTATCTTTTTCTTGGCCTTGGTTTCTTTACCTCTATCTTCACTCAGGCCTCCCAGCCTTTACCTCCCAGTCTGTCTCCAGGAAACACTTTCTCCCATTTTTTTTTAAACCTCCCTAAGAGTGAGGGTTGAATGCATCCAAACCAGGTGTCTCCCTTCTCTGCAGCCAGACCTTCCTTCTGTCCATCTTAGAGGACTGTCCTCCCTTTAATTCAGCCAAGGTAGGTTTGAATCTATTCTAAAGATAATTTAATAGAAACTGATACAAAAAGCCTCCTCCACCAAAGGGTGTGCAGTAGAACGAATTCTGTGGATTAAACAGGGCACGTGCTTTCCCTTCCCCATGGCTTTTTCTGCTTCGGGGGCGCAGAAGGTAAAGACAGGAATGTTGGGGAAGGGCATGCAGATGGCGCAAGGTGATGGGAAGCGAGTGTGAGAGCGAGAGGGATGGGGCCCAGGGGAACGAGACGATGGATCGAAGCACCTCTCCAGGCAGGCCCCATCGCTCACAGACGAATCTGGAAGGGATGCGGCATCAGCGCGCGCGCACGCAGAGCTGGTAAGGCCGGGGCACATTGCCGAGACCAGAGCTGAGCGGGGTCAGATCGATGTCCTCGGGCGCCCCCAGCGGCTGCAGCGAGAAGCTCTGCAGGATGGCGGTCAAGTAGAGGAAGAGCTCCATGCGCGCCAGCGCCTCGCCCAGGCACAGCCGGCGTCCTGCAGGGAGAAAGGACGGGGAGGAGCGATGAGACAAAGTGGTGGTGAAGGCCTCCTCCACTTTCAGAGGAAAGCATGAGAATAATGACTGGGGACTCACAGACCCATCCATCTGTGGGTCCGGGACAGACAGTTTAAGTATATCGTGGACCTCCTACAAGTGCAACCTTGCAGGGATTCGAATCCTGACTACCATTACTAGTTCTGTGATCTTGGGCAAGCCAGAGTTTCTGGGTAGGTATCTGAAATGGGGAGGATAATAGTGCTTCATTAGGTTGCTATGAGGGACTTGCCTGGTGGCTCAGACTGTGAAGAATCTGCCCGCAATCCCTGGGTCAGGAAGATCCTTTGGAGAAGGGAATGGCTACCCACCCCAGTATTATTGCCGGGAGAATTCCACGGACAGAGGAGCCTGGAAACCACGGAGCAACTAACGTTTTCACTTTTTTTCAGGTTGTTGTGAAAGGTAAATGGAGGTGAAACAGAATATAATGCCATGTCAGTTTTAGTATGTGTGTTCTCTCGCTGCTCTAAGCCCTATTATCAATTAATTTTGTCTTTATAACAACTCCCAGAGGTAGGCCTTTTTATGATCGCCATTTTATAGATGTAAAACCCGAAGGACAGAGAAGAGAAGGAGCAAATCCAAGGCCAAGTGGCTAGAATATAACAAAGCTGGGGTCTGGCAGCAAAGTGCATCTCTTAGCCACTGCTCTTACAGTTCTCAGAGGTAGCACTGGTGCACAGTAGGCAGTGTTGTGGGTTACCTATTATTATGCACCCTACTCCCTTTTCGAACACTCAGTTAAGCAGGAAAGATTTTTTTCAGCCGTTTAAAGACCAAAGCCAAGAAAAACCAGACCCACTTCAACTGCACCACCCAGTGGAGAGACTGATAATGACCATGTCCAAGTTAGATGACAATCCTGTCTCCCTGCCTCCCTCCACAAGGCTTTCAGTTGCCATCAGCCTGTAGGGGAAGACTTGGGAAGGAGAAAGGATGTCTGCACATCTAAAGCGGAGGATCGGGTGGGATGAAGAAGTTAAAGGGTCTGGAGAGTTGAATTAGGCTTGGGGAATGTAGGTGGAATATTGGGCCAGAAAGACTGATCATTGCCCTCCACCACTTTCACCAGCTGAGAAAGGCATGAAGGCAGGACTCTTCTTGAAGGACATATTGGCATCCAGAAAACGTTCAGGGTTGAATTCCTTGGGCTTCGGAAATTGGCTGGGGTCGTAGTGGACTGTATGAAGGAGGGTGATGACATCCGTGCCCTGCGTGGATGGGGAGGCAGAATCAGTGGCCGGTTAGAAGGGCTGGGAGGTTCCCAGTAGAGGATTTCCACTCTACAGAGCCTGGGTCTCTATCAGGAGTCCAGGAAATGGGTGTGGGTGTGGGTGTCTAGGGTTCCCAGTGATGGGTGCCGAAAACAATTCTTTTGGGGTCTGAGGTAGGGATGTGGGATACCCTCCTTGTAGAAACAAATCTGGGGTTCCTGGGGAGGGAGTAAGGTCTTCCAGAACAGAGTTTAGGTACCGGAGGTCCCCAGAATGAAGTCTCAGACCTTGGGGATTTCAGAGAGGGGTCCTAGGGGTCACAGGGAAGGGGCCTGGTGTTCAGGACAGGGTCTAGTCCAGTATGGTATAGGATGAAGTCTTGGGAAGGGGCTGAGGTTCTGGATTTAAGGGCCTCAGATGTCTGTTGCTAGGGCCTGGGTCTTCCTTGCTAGAACCCTGGATGCCCGTATCAAGAGTGTGGGATGCCTCTTCCTAAGGTTTTAGGTATGGTTTGCCAGGTGTCCACCTCACCCTGGGTATCGTGAAGCCTCGAAAGTTCGTGTCCCGAGTGACACGGTGCGGCAAGCTCATGGGGATGATGTCTGCGAAGCGCTGCACTTCGTGGATCACCGCGTCTGTGTAAGGCATCGCCGATCGGTCCTCCACTGTCGGCAGCCGCTTATGTCCCACCACGCGGTCGATTTCCTCCTGGATGCGGACTGGGGTGGGAGGAGGGGAGAGCAGTTTTTGAGGGTATCACCAGACTCGGCTGTACCGAAAAGAGGGGTGTGCATGCGTGTGGAAGCAATCCAGCCACTGCTTTCCAGTCGAGGTCGGGGTCGGGGGTCGGGGGCGATGCAAGGGTGCATGTGAAGGTTAGATGGAGGTTCAGAGGGAGGGATGGGTTCAGAGATGCAGTGAGGGCGAAAGTTTCGTTCCCGCCTGGGCTTCCGGGGCGAGGTTGTGCGGACGGGGTACGGGGCTGCTTGGAGTCCAGGTCCCACATGGGATTGCCGGCGGGGCTTGGAGGACTAGGGCCGCTGGAGGATGGATGGAGTGAGCGGGATGTGCAGGACAGCTGAGAAATCAGGGGTGGCGCGGGCGGCAAAGACCCAGTAGGTCTCCGCACAGCGTCCAGGCGGCCAGGAAGGTTCAGGGGAAGACCCAAAAGCGGGGTTCGGGAAGGCGGGGTCGCAGGCCGTGCCTGGGAGGGGAGGGGCTCTTGGGCAGGCCCGGGCTCTGGGCGTCTGTGCGAATTGTGTGTGCAGGGTCAGAGATGGGTCCCAAAGCAAGACCTTGCGGACGGGGTCTCCGTCCGGACAGAAGTATGCGGATCGGGGGAGCCACGTGAGTGGGGTCAGCCTCCGGTGGGCTTGCGGGTTTGGCTGTGGGACCCAGGCGTGAGCTGGAGGCTCTCGCTACCAGGCACACTGGGCGGGCACTCAAGGTCTGTGGGCGGGGCTCCCGGCGCTCGCACCTTGCACTTTTGGATACTTCATGAGCAGGAGGAAGGCATGGCGCAGCGTGGTACCCACGGTCTCGGTGCCGCCGAAGAGCAGATTGTGTGTGGTCATCAGCAGAGTATCCATGAAGAAGTGGCTCAGCGGGTCCTGCTTTTCCTGCAGGGGTTAAGGGCCGAGGATGTGAGCCAAGGCGGAGGGAGATCTTTGGGCGCCGAGACTCTGCGACCCGCTCCTCACAGACCTGCACGACTGATACTGGGTGCCAGTTCAGCACCTCCTCTGTTCAGTTTCCTTTCCTTGGGGGATCTGGGGAGTGCGGAGGGCAGGGAAGGGAAAATCTCAGCCATGCGGCCGATAAAATAAACCTTGAAGGATTTTTAATGAGCCTGTTAATTGGCGGAGGCCCTGAGTGGCCCCAGAAGAGCCAGATGATCCAACTTCACTTTCTGGATGTGGGGAGTTCACACCCAAACGCGCTCATCTCGAGATCCTTGTTGGTTCGAAGCAGAATGGAAGGTCAGATCAGAGATGGGACTTCCAGGTAGGGCTTACTTACCTGTGCCATCTTGGTAAGGAAGCAATCAATGAAGTCCCGGGGAGAGTTTGGGTCAAGGGAAGCCTGGTGTTCATGGACGCTGCGGGCGATGAGGTCCTTCATGCGTCCGTAATTCTTAAAAACGCGTCGGTGTGGCCCGGGCACCCAGTCCAGGAGGTTCGGAAAGATATTGTACATCTAAGGATGGGGGATTGGGAGGAGCAGGCAGACGAGAAGATAAGGTGAAGGGGTGTGTGTGTGTAGGGTGGGGCGGGGCCTGTGTGCCGGCAGAGCCCCTGCGGAGTGGGCGGGGCCGCATACCTCGGGGGCGGGGGTCAGACGGAGAGGGCGGGGCCAATAGCAGTTGCTTCCCTACCCACTGCTTCCCCGATAGCCCTGAACTGGCTGGACCCAATCCTGTCGCCCGTGGAATTCGGTCTCCTGACCTCTCCCCAGGGGCTGCTCATGATTTGGAAGTTTTCATTGATGAGGTGGATAATGGTGAGCAGGCGGTCGTCGTCGTAGTCGAAACGGGAGCCGAAGATCACAGAGCAGATAATGTTGGACACGGAGCGGCTCACCACAAACGTGGGGTCGAAGGGCTTGCCTGAAGGTGAAGGGCGAATGGGTCAAGGGGCACGGCTCCGGAGACACAGTGTACGACAAACCAGGCTCCAGGCAGCAACCGCACGACATCCAACCCAAGCATGTCAGTGTGACTCACAGCACTGAACGCCTGCTCCTGGCCACCTAACATAGCACAACAGCCCCCACAAAGCATCTGGCTACACAACAGACAGCACAGAACGCACGTCACCCTACAGCACATCGACAGCAATACTAAACAGCTGCACAGGGTATTCTTGGTGATGCAATACACGCATACACACAGTACAACTTTACACCCAGTGCCTGACAACACTACAGCCTCACTCAGCAATGGCACACAGCAACACAACACCTCACACCCAATGATCTGATGACCCAGCAGGTCACAGAAAGCAGTACCAATACAGCGCATCCCCACACTGGCCATCACACAATAGCACAGCCCGGAAAACTGAATCTGGAGTTAACTAGACATAGTCTGGATTTTGGCTTGGCCTCTTAGCCTACATGTGACCTAGGGGAACCAAATTCCCTTCTCTGAGCCTCAGTTTCCCCATCTATAAAATGGACTTGATGATAGTCTTCTCCTCATGGGGCTCTTGTAAATAGTCAGTACATGTTTGGCTGGGAAATGCTTAGCTAAGGGCCGTCATGCCATCATGAACCAAAGAAGGGTGGTATGGTAGGCTGAGTAATGTCCCCCGCCATGCTCCCCGCCCCCACCAAGATGTCCATGTCCAAATTCCAAAAGCCTGTGCATATGTAATTAAGTTAAGGATCTTGGGATGGGAGATTATTCTGGATTATCTAGGTGGGTTTAATGTAATCACATGGGTCCTTATAAGGAAGCAAAGGATCCGAATAGAAAAGGTGATGTGATGGGAATTCCCTGGTGGTCCAGTGGTTGGTTCTTTGTGCTTCTATTGCCAAGGGCTCAGGTTCAATTCCTGGTTGGGGAACTAAGATAAAGCTGCACAGTGTGGCCAACCCCCAACCCCCAAAAAAGTGATGTGGTGATGGAAAGAGGGAGAGAGAGGAAGAGACATTGGTGGATGCTATGCTGCTGGCTTTGAAGATGAAGGAAGGGGCTACAAGCTGAAGAATGCAGGCAGCCTCTAGAGGCTAAAAAAGGTGAGGAATTGGATTGTTCTCTAGAACCTCTAGAAGTCAACTCTGCTCACCCAGTTTAAACTTTGGATCCCCAGAACTAGAGGAGAATAAATTTGTATTGTTTTAAGTCACTAAATTTATGGCAGTTTGTTGCAGCAGCAACAGGAAAATAATTCAGGCAGTTATTATTCTTTTACTTACATCACATCATTTAATCCCTGAGCTATTACCTGCCACTTCTCCCCGCAGAGTCAGCAAGATTTGGAGATCAGGGTAGTGGGCCATTTACCTTTCTCTGCTCAATTTCTTCTCCTGTAAAATGGGGTTTATGATAGTACTTACTTCTGAGGTTTGGGTGATTTCTCTTTTCTAAAGGAGAACTGAAATTTTTAAATTTACTTTGGCCATACTGTGCAGCATGCCAGGTCTTAGTTCCTGAATAAGGGGTGGAAACTGCACCCCCTGAAGTGGAGGTGTGGAGCCTGAACCACTGGACCACCAGGGATGTCCCTGGGTGATTTTTCAAGGAGGTGATATACACAGAGTTTTGGAACAGTGCTGGCATATGGTAAGTAAGCATCACCTTAAATGTTGATTATTAACTTCTTTTTCATGGTCGACAGCTTTGACCTGGGTTTATATCCCATCTTGGGCACTTCCCAGGCATGTGACTAAACTTTCTAGGCCTCAGCTTTATCTCTTGTAGTAACTCCCTAGGTTTTCTGGGAGGGTGAAACTTGTCAACACATGCAAAGAGTTTACCATAGTACCTGGAATCCTGTAAGCACTGGATAAATGGGTATTAATGTTTGGCATGAGGACTTTGGTATCTAAGACTTAGGTTTAAATCTTGACTCTTCTACTTTCTAGCTTTATCATTTCAAGCTGGTTGCTCAATCTCTCTGTGCCTCAGTCTTCTCATCTGCAAAATGGATTGTTCCAAGGCTTAAGGGGCTTTTTTGCCTGAAAATGTGCTTAGCACAGGCCCCCACACATGGTGAGTTTTCAAGAGCAGAAGCAGCAGCATATTGTCCTCCACAGTGACAGGAGCAGCGCTCAAAATACCACACAGAGACAGCACAACAAAGGGATCAGGACATATTCTGCCACTCTGTGCATGCATGCTAAGTTGCTTCAGTTGTGTCCAATTCTGCAACCCTATGGACCGTAGCCTGCCAGGCTCCTCTGTCCATGGGATTCTCCAGGCAAGAATACTGGAGTGGGTGGCCAGGGGATCTTCCCAACCCAGGGATTGAAACCACATCTCTGACAACCTGCATTGGTAGGCAGGTTCTTTACCACTAGCGCCACCTGGGACGCCCACTGTCACCCTACCTCAAGGAAACACAGTGTCACAAACTGATTCACCTCCAGGGGGCGCCTCTCTTATCACTGGTCAAGTGAGAAGCCTCCAGGAGTTCTGAGTTCACACCCATGCTATGGTATGGGGCTGCCCTGACCACCTAAGTAGGCTGGAGATGAATGAGGGATATGGGCTGCATGTGGGGAACCGGACCTTGAGTTTTCCGAAGCTCCTCCAGCAGGAAGTGGCCTTCTTCCAGGATCCGCTCCTCAATGGTCTTCTTCCCCATGCCAAAGTGGCGCAGAATTTGAACAGAATACTTTCTAAGGGCCTTCCACCGGTCTCCATTGGAGAAGGCAATGCCTGGGTAGAAGGGAAGGGCCAGCTCCACCAATGACCTATTCCCAAGACCGCTGTCATCTGAATCCCCTTTCCCGATGTCTGATAAGAGAAAGTCCCCAAGTTTGGAATCTCCCCACAGCCCTGCCAGTAAGTCCTTCCAGACCCTCTCGGCTGGGTCAGGTACCTCCTTTGAGCTTCCATAGGGCCCTGGGCTTTTCTCCCCACAGTCCTGCTTACCGTCTCTGTTTCTGCTATCACAGACCTGACCACTCTGGGCTGTCACTGTCTGACAAGGAACCTGCCCCTTCAGTGAACTGTGAAGGCGGGGTGGGGGCCTGTCTTGGCCATCACTGTACTCCTAGCATTGTCCAGTGCAGGGTTCACCACCCACAAGGTGCTGGTGATTGCTTATCGATTAATGAGTGCACAAATAAGGGAGAGAAGCCAGAAAAATAAACCTTGAGACACTAGGAACTCATCTAGGAGTGAGACAGACCCTGTTCTCTTTTCTCCCTGGACTTGGGGATTCTTTACGCAGGCTGGTTATTCTTCCAGAATACTCTTCCCTTGCTGTCTGCTCCTGAGTGGTCATTTCTTTCTTTTAGATTGCTACTCGGAGTTCCCTTACTCCAGGAAGCCTTGACTGGTGCTTCCTTCCTGGCTGGCTCAGGTGTTTCCTCTGGGCTCCCACGGCTCTGCGGGCTTCCATGATCCCAGCCCTGACTGTGCGGTGTCTTTGACTGGGCTAGGAGCTGCAATAGGATATGCGGTCTCACATGTGTTCATTCTGAGTCCTCTAGTCCTCCAGTCCTCAGAGAACTGGATGCTAAAGAGGAAGAAAATATCGTGTTTTGCCTTCATTGTGTGCATCATCTCATCGACCTCTCCTAGCAGCCTTCTCATGATAGTAGACTGAGGGTCGGAGAGGGGAGTGCCCAAAGGTGCAGGCTAGGCGGCAGAACCCTGCTGTTACCCTCTGTACTGAATAATTAGATGCTGGCTATTTTTAGTAACAGATGATGTATATATCCAGATGTTTTCTGTGTAAGAGTAGCGGGGGGCATTTGTCTACCTTCTTGCATCTGGACAGGTAAGGTCATAAGATCAAGCCAGGAGACATGAAGGCAGCAAGTGTACTCAGTATCCAATAGGTGTTCTTTCTTTCTCTCTCTCTTTTTTTTTAAAACTAGAACTTTCCAACTTCAAATCCTGGGGCAGCTGGGACCCATCTAGTGTAAGGGCAAGGGGGAGCCTTAGTGATTCTTTAGGGAGAGACAAATAGTCCAAGATACAGGTCTCCAGGACCCCCTTTTCATTTAGAGCAACTTTCTTCTTTCCCTCCCATCTCCCTCCCCCTCCCTCTTTTCCTCTTTCGTTCCTTTTCTTTTTATTCTTTCTTTCTCATATATTGGGCCATGCCACACGGCTTCCTTTGAGTATGAGATTTATGTTACAAGAAATCCACAAGACTAGGTGACTTCCAGACCTACAAAGGACAAGATACTGAGCTAGGAGAGGTTTGGAGTGAGTGATGTGAGTTGCTGGATGGCTGGGGATAAAGTTGGGTGTGAGTTGGGATGGGGATGAAAGTGGGAATGAGGGGAGATAACGGGGTAGATGAGAAGTTGGGTCTGAGATTAGTGTGGGGATGGAACTGGGTAGAATGAGAGTGATTGGTAGACTGGAGTTGAGATTGAGCTTGGGGTGGGTCGATACGTGGTAGGATTGGTTTTGGTGACAGTAGTGGGATATAGGTCAGAAGTGAGACCGAGGGACTGGGAACTTCAGTAGGTGACTGAGATAGAAAATGGGGCTGGGGAGGAAAATGATAATGGGGTTGAATTTGACTGAAGGATCAGGATGGGTTAACACTAGATGTTAGTATGGAGATTGGGAGAGGTTTGTAGTGGGAATGGAGGCTGCAGTGAGGTATAGTCAGTGTTGAGAGAGAGATGGAGTTGAGATTGAAATGGGGAACATGGAAGCAGGGTTGGGGGGGACTGGGGCGAGGTGGACATTGCAGACTGGGGCCATATAATTTAGCCACTTGACTGAGATGGAAATGTGATGATGTGGTCAGGATAGAGAGAGAGGCATTGCCATGAGAGCAGGGTTGGAGGTGGGTGGAGATGGGAATGGGTATAGAAGTACAACTCAAGATGGCTAAGGGAGGGATTTCTCTGGAAGTCCAGTGGTTAAGACTCTGCTTCAAATGCAGGGAGTATGAGTTCCATCCTTGGTCAGGGAACTGAGATCCCACATGCCGCATGGCACAGCCAGAGAAAGAAGAAGAAAAAAAAAAGTGGTGGTGGGATTTCGGGGTGGTGAAGGTGGGACAGACTTCACCCTACTTGGCTCCACTCTGCCTGGCATCATCGGTGAGATCAGAAGCCCTGAGTGTCACCAAAATTGAGAGGACATTCTTCTACCCTTATTCCCTTCCTCGGTGTGGAATGGGTTGGGAGTGGAGGAGGTGGGGAGCAGGCTTACCATTGCCCTTGGTGAAGTTGAAAAAGATAGGGTAGTCGCCGCGGCCACCAAACTCCTCTGCCTGGTCCACCAGCGCCTCCTTCACGGCCTGGTACCCGCTGAGGACCACCACCCGTCTGGGTCCCAGGTATACTGTGTACACTGCGCCGAATTCCTTGCTCAGCTGCGGGTAAGAAGACAGAGGTCACAGTGGGCTCTGGGGCCAGGGACCCCTCTCCCTTATCCCTCCCTTCACCCAAGCCTAGTCCTTTGACCTTGGTGAGGGACGTCAGCATATCTTGGGAGCGAAGCTGCAGCAAGTTTCCCAGGAATGGGAGGGCCCTGGGGCCTGGGGGCAGCTGGCCCTTGCCCTTTGAGCCGATGGTCAGGAGTAGACAGATGAGAGCCAGGATCAGGAACAAGATGGCTGTGCTTATGCTGTCCATGATGCAGGCAGTTGCAGGCACCTGGGCTGGGAGTTGGGTGAGGGGGGAGGTGGGGGAGTGGGAGAAGGCAGCACTGGGGAGGGAGTGGGATTCTTTCACTCCTCATCTCCTCCTGGAACTTGCCTCCCCCAGACCCCAGAAATGGGAGCAGATGGAGAGGAAAAAAGGAAGTAGAGAGAGGGAGAGACTGGGAAACGGCCAGGGGATGGGGGAAGAGATGGAAGGAGAGGGGAAGGGAGGGAGAGAGAGAAAAAAGGGCATGAGGGAGTCAAAATACAGAGAGACAGAAATCAAGACCGATGGAGAGGAACAGAAGAGATATAGAGACCGAGAGACAGAGACTAAGAGAGGCAGAGTTACATGTGGAGATAATGAGGAGACAAAAAACAGAGTGAGCTCTCTGGATATCTGTGGATGTCTGCCTTCTGTGTATCTATGTATGTATCTATCAGGAGTCAGACACAACAACAACAATCTATTATCTATCTGTTGTCTATCTTCAGTCTGTTTTCTATCTATCTATGTCTGTCTATTTAACTATCTGCCTGCCTATCTAACACTTATCATCTATCATCTTTCACATAGTGATATAGAGAGATACAGAGACACAGGGACTGAGACAGACACATCAAGACAGAGAAATAGCCAGACAGAGAGAAATCACAGAAAGACAGGCAGACAGAGAGAGACTAGAGAAGGGAGATAGAACTAGAGAAGGCACAGAGCTGAAGAAAGAGACGAGAGAGGTGGGGAGACAGAGCTATGCCTTGACTGAGAGACATACAGATGGACACGGACAGATAGGAGGAAGAGGGTGACAAGCAGATGGAGGGAAGGGGCAGAGGCAGACCCAGAGGCCGGTGGAGAAGAGAGTGACAGAGACAGAAGAGAGAGATACACAAAGACAGAGAGACACTCAGACGGACAGACAGACAGACAGACAGGCAGGGAACATGCGACAGAGGCATGCAGAGACAGAGAGACCAAGACAGACAGAGACAGCAGGAGCGCAGAAGCAGAAACAGGCCGAAAGGTGTCCTGAACCCAGGAGTCACATTTCAGAAAGAGATGCCCCCTGGCTGGGTGAAGTGAGTCACAAAGAGTGTGCGGGACCAAACCCTGGCTCGGAACACTTTGGTAAATTCAAGAACAGGGTCCCAGAGACAGCCCCTGAGAGGCAGACCCAGAGACGCCTCAGACGGGCTGACAAGGCAGACCCTGGCCAGTCTCAGGATAGGGAGATGGAGCCAGTGACCCTCTCTTGAGAGTCACCCCCTCTTCTGTGACCAGCCCCCTACCTGCTGAGCTGCTGAGGTTTGTGCTGGAGGGACCAGTCAGGCCGGCAGCAGCTGCTCCAGATGTGTGCCCAGGAGCCCAGAACTGAGGGGTGGGAGCTGCTCTTAAATCACCTCCGTCCACCCACTGCTTACCACCCTTTTCGCTTGTTCATCCAGTGACTTTTAATCCCTCCCACTTCCCTGCCTTACTTGCCTGGGCGGGGCCTCACAGCCAGATGGAATGAGGCCTCGAAAGAGTGACTTGGGAGCCCTGCCTTCTCCTCCCCTGGGCTGATCCTACCTCTTCTCACTGTGGCCAGTGCTGCATCTGTTCTGGAACGGGGGTGAAGTCTCTATTTTTTGTTGTTGTTGTCCTTGGGGATCCTGGATCTAGTTCTGGGTCTGGTTTAGAGTTGCAGGGCTTGGGCACAATGAAGGGGTAGGGATGAGGTCGGGGTCTCTGTCCTGGGGTGGGGAAGGTTTCTCATTCCCTGGGGCCCCATTTTCACAACTCTTCTCACCCTTCTCTGTCTCCTGCAGTTTGTCTCTGAAATTCTGTACATGTCTCTGCTTTGGCCTCTGCATCTTCTTGTCTCTTTTTTATGTCTCCGTCACTCCCCATCTCTCTTCCTCTGTGTCTCTGTCTTTCACCATCTCTTCTGCCCCCTGATTTTCTTTGTGACCTTTCTCTTTTCTCTCTGCTTCTCTCTCTCTGCAGTCTTTCTCAGTTGCTGTCTCCTCCTGACTGTCTGAGTGTCTCTCTGTCTCTCACACCTCCAAGAGGTGGCGTGCAGTAAACAGGACAGAAGCCAGATTGAGGATCAAGGAAGATTTGAGAGAAGGGCAGGGCAGGGCAGGCAGAAACAACCTCACAAGACAGGGCCTCAGATGTGAAGGATACCCCTGCGACTGCCCACCTCCACTTCTGCCTCTCTCCTAAGCCCCCCACCTACTCTGATTCTGCCCTTGTCTCCTTCCCCCCTGAAACTGACCACAGTTACTCAACTCCTAGCTAGGTCAGAAGGGCAGATTGCAAAAATCTGAAGGTGGGCTAGGACTCTAGTTCCTTGGAGGGTTAGGTGTGGGAAAGAGCCCCAGAGGTTAAGAGTCTGGGAGGCCATATGGAGGTGTGGGTGGCCGCACTGCCCCCCAACCAGGTCCATTGGTAGACACCATGGTGGTTGTTTTTCCCATGGAGGGTGGGGGAGGAAGTGCTTGAGTGTCCTGGGGAATTTGATATCCCAGCTCTCAGGCCCCTGTTGGGATGGAGGTGGGGCCTGTGCTACTGTTTCAGTCCCAGAAAGGCTGGTTAGGGCAGGTCCTGAAAGAGGGGTGAAGGCTTGATTATGGGATTATGGATCTCTAGTTTCCCTTGGCATGAACCCCTACTTCTGGGGGAGAGGAGTAATACTTGATCTGTGGGAACCCCACAAGTGACTTTTCTCTGACCCCAGAGCTTGGTTGAGAGGGGCCTCTTGGGACTTGCCTTTGTGGCGAACTTGGGACTCCTGAGAAGGGAAGTTTTAAGGGGCTTTGAGTTCTTCTTTTTTTTTTTCATTTATTTTTATTAGTTGGAGGCTAATTACTTTACAATATTGTAGTGGTTTTTGCCATACATTGACATGAGTCAGCCATGGATTTACATGTGTTCCCCATCCCGATCCCCCCTCCCGCCTCCCTCTCCATCCCATCCCTCTGGGTCTTCCCAGTGCACCAGCCCTGAGCACTTGTCTAATGCATCCAACCTGGGCTAGTGATCTGTTTCACCCTTGATAGTATACTAGTTTCAATGCTATTCCTTTGAGTTCTTCTTATGGTCTGACTTGCTGCCCTGCTGCAGAGGGAACGTAGGGTAGGGAGGGATGTATTGTGAGTTTCCTCAGCCTCAGCACTGTTGACATTCGGGCTCGTGATTCTCTTGGGGTGGGAGCTGTCCTGTGAGTGGCAGGATGTTTAGCAGTATCTCTGGTTTCTACCTCTTAGATATCAGTAGCAGCCCCCTTCCCAGTTGTAAAAATAAAAAATGACCCCGGATATTATTTAATGTCCACTTGGGGGCAAACTCCAACCCAGGTGGGAAGTGCAGGTGTGATGGGAGAAACTGAAAGACACCCAAGGGCAGCTGAACTTTCCTGATCTCCAGTTGGCCTCTCCTTGACTTCCAACACTTATGTTTAAAAATTTTTAAATTAATTTATTTTATTTTTGGCTGCTCTGGGTCTTTGTTTCTGCACCTGGGTTTTCTCTAGTTGTGGCAAGCAGGGGTTACTCTCTTCGGGTTCGATCCCTGCGGTTGGGAAGAACCCCTGGAGAAGGAAATGGCAACCCACTTCAGTATTCTTGCCTGGAGCATCCCCATGGATAGAGGAGCATGGCGGGCTACAGTCCATGGGGTCGCAAACAGCTGGACATGACTGAAGCAACTTGGCATGGCACGGGGTCATTCTCTAGTTGTGGTTCTCAGGCTTCTCATTGCAGTGGTCTCTCTTGTTTTGGGGAGTAAGCTTGACCAGGGTTCAGTAGCTGTGGTGAATGGGGCTTAGTTACTCCGTGTCATATGGAATCTTCCCAGAGCAGGGATCAAACTCTTGGCCCCTGCATTGGCAGGCAGATTCTTTTTTTTTTTTTTTTGGCAGGCAGATTCTTAACCACTGAACCACTGAGGAAGTCGCAACACTTACATTATTCCCTGCCCTCTCAAGCCTCCAGACCCTTTTCTCCCTCTGTTGATGGTCTCATTTCTTATCCCATAGAAAAAGCAGCATGCTCAGCGGCTCACCTCACCAGAATCTGAGCCACATATGTAGCCTTGCTTTCCTGACAGAGAAAGGGCAACATTTCCTTCTTCTTCTTCTTCTTTTTTTTGTGTGGGATCTTAGTTCCCTGACCAGTGATGGAACCCGTGGCCCCTGCAGTGAAAGTGCAGAGTCCTAACCACTGGACCACCAGGTGGTCCCAAGTGCAGCTTTTCCTGAAAGTGACAGGGCATCCCACCCCTGTCACTAGCTAGACGGCTTTCTTTCTCTTTATTGCATTGTGTTTTGTGTGAATGTGGGCAGATGGATTTTTTTCCTAGTTTAAATTGTTTGAGGTAAAATTTACATGTGATGAAATATACAAATCTGGGATTAATAGATACAAACTACCACATATAAAATAGATAAATAATATGGTCCTATTGTACAGCATAGGAAACTATGTTTAACATCTTGCAATAACCTATAATGGAAAAGAATATGAAAAGAATATGCATATATGTATATGTATGTGTGTATATATATATATAGGGGCTTTCCTGGTGGCTCAGTGGTAAAGAATCCACCTGGCAGTGCAGGAGACACGAGTTCGACCTCTGGTCTGGGAAGATTCCCACATGTCTTGGAGCTACTAAGTCTGTGCACCTCAAATATTGAGACCGTGCTCTAGAGCCCAGGAACCACAACTATTGAACCCATGCATCA